GGCTCATGTGACCTGAGCTGCAGCACGAGGCGTTGTATGGGAATGGGACAACCCTGCGTAAGTCTGAAGAAAACCAAACACTCTGGTGTTAATGCTTACATATCCTGGTCAGCCTGAAGACAGTTGCATATTTGTTTTTGCTTTAGTGAAGCTCTTTGAGACCCTTAGATGACAGATGCTACTTCAATCTTAGTATTGGTGCTTTCATGTTTCCATGGATGGGCAGAAAACTGATGGCTGCTGCCCATAGAATCTGGTCTGCAGTCACTGGGACATCTACTGCTCTTGCTGTGTTGATAGGGAATGGCAGAAAGCAGAGGCAGTGACAAAACAAGTGCTGTTAACAGCTCAGGTGCTGTTAGTGGGGCAAAGAGCCCACTGCCCCTGGAGCCTGCAGAGCTGCAAGAACATAAGACTTCAAGGGGAGGATCTGGGAGCCATGCGGTGGATGACAGAAGTGTGGCTATTGGAGGATGTAAAACCAAGGCATTACAACATCTTCAAAACACCCTTCAATGCTTAGTGATTTGCTTCCCTACACAGTGCTAGGCTTTCTTTGGACTGTATCTATTTTCATCCCAAAGAAAGAAACAGCTAAAACCCCAGATAAGATCCAAGGACACCACAGCAGGCAGCCATACACAATTGATTTTCCTGCTTCCTTACATTCGGTGCTGCTCTGCTGACAGGTACTGATACGAGTGAAAAAATATTTTTGGAACTGATCTTCAGGCCACTGTTACCTGAATAAATCCAAAATGCTGAGAGACTGTTTCACCATTTGTGAAGGCCCTTGGGAAGCAGAGAGCTGCTGGAAAGTGGTGACAATGAGCCAGCAGCAGAGCATGGGATGAAGGGCACGGAGTCCAGCTCAGCTCCCTCACCTTTCTTCTTGCAATCCCTGCTTGTGTTACTGGCACAGCTGTACCCCAGAATACGCTTCATTTTCTGAGGCTTGTCCTGCACAGCCTTTTGAAGGCAGTTTTATCATAGACTATAATGTAGTGATGTAGAACATGAAAGTTCTGAAAAATATTTAGTTCAGGACCGGTTTCAGAAGAAAAGAGTCAGTGAGCAAGACACGGGGTTAACAAGGACATGATGAAATGCTTCCATAACTGCAGGGTTAAAGAGCAACATCAGGAAAAGTTATTTCCGCTACTTTTTTTTCTCATGGTCATAAAAATCTATGATGTTTCAAGATAAACATGGCCAAAGAATTCACAGTTGTTAGTTATGCACTTCTGCTGATCTTGTATTCTACAACCAAGCAGCAGAACTTGGACTTGATTGTAGGGCCAGGAAGTTCCACCCAGATACACGAGCACCCAGATCTCACTTAGAAATGCAGCAGTGCATAAATTAGTGTGCCTGTGTGGCTGCCTTGCATCAAGATAAAGAGAGAATAATGCTGCTGGGGAATTATGTGCACAAAGCTCTGTGAAGCAAGAATTAAAATGAATGAGATTAAATGGAAAATAACACATCAGGAATATGTTAATAATTTAATTAAAGTCTACCAAAGTTGAAATATTCCACAATTAAGGTTGAAGCCCATCAACATTCTCTGTTCTACTTGGGGATTTTGCCATAGGTAAAACTACCAGTTCAGAAACATTTCTCAGTGTTTGAGGAAAACTGGGTCAACTGAGTGCGGTGGCATCGCTAACTCTGACAATGTTGGATGTAGCTGTTTTCCCAGGCAGATTTTTAAGGATGCTTTAATAAATTTCTTTAGTGCAGCCTTTATTGTAGCACGTGAGATAAATGTGAACATTGGTTGTTTTCAAAAACACAAGAGGGGCAATTAGCGCTTTTTTTCCCCAGCCTGGTTCACTGTTTTCATCTTTACCTAACCTTGTTTAAATAAAACTGTGTATGCATTTAAGTCAAAGTGAAACACAGAACAAAAATGTTACTTAGTAATAGAGCACCAGGAGGCCATGACTGCGAAGGAAGTGGCACCAAAGGGAAATTTGACACTTTAAGGAGACAGTTACACAACTCTTAGCTGAGCTTGGCTTTGCCCTTTCTACATCCCCCCTTTGAAGTACTCCCTGTGACTCTTCTTCCAATCCACAGACCATGCTGTGCTCAGCACTAGTAGATGCTGCTGCCCACACCGGGCAGAGCCAAGTCCTTCCCCTGGAGCCCTCCTACCACCTGTTCTGCAGCAGGGCACACAGCAGACAGATGACACCCCTACAAAACCCCACTCAACTTCACTGTCCACAAAACCAAGCGACTTCCATGCTCTAAAGTGATGCTGCACCATCGCTTTAAAGGCTCAGTAACATAAAATACAGAAAGTCCCTCTCTGGTCAGAAACTTCACATAATGAACAGGATCAGAATCTCCTTTTTCTCCAGTCGCAGTGAGAAGTGTACATGGAGAAAACACAACAGGAAGTTTTCTGCTGGCAACAATGCCAACAATGCCAGACAGACTTCTCCTATTTCCTGTACACTGCTTTCCTACTGAGTGTAACGCATTTCCAGACTGAGCTCACAAGCAGGAGGTGACTGCACTGTGCCCTGTAACTGAAAGTGGTTGTACTTGAAAAGCACGCTTTTAAAGGTCATGAGATGTTCAGTTTGTATATAAAGCAGACAATCCCGCACTGCAACAATTTCAGACAGCAGTCCAGTGAAACTTGCCATGATCAGCCGCAGTCTTATTGTACAAACATGGCAAGTCAGAAGGTCTCCAGAAATTAAAGATAAAGTTCTTTAGCATTTTCATCTTTCATTCATATGTAATCTGAGTAAATGGCAAACGTCAGACACTTTTGCTCTTGTAGTGATCAAATGCCCTTAATAGAAATGCCATTAAAAGCCTCGATGGTACAGAAGCAATGGCACAGAGACATCAGGGGCCATTTGCCTGGGATCTGGGTTGCAGTATGTGACTCTTCCCACATGCACACACTCAGAACAGGAGAACCAGTGCCCCAGCTGAGCCTAAAAATGCTGAAAAAAAGACACGGCCGTGCATTTTTTATGTTGAACATCTTGAATTTTGTCCTTCCTGGTGATGAGCTCGTGTGCCTGTGTGGGAGGTTCTTGTGGTTTCACTTAGGTGTTCAGCTCTCCCTGCAGGGGGGAAATGAGGCATGTCGGATACTTCAGCTCATTACTGGTATTTTTTACCTGCGGTAACGTAGGGAAATCCTGTTTCAAAATGGACAGTGCAATCTCATTACAAGCTCTGCGTCTTTATGAAAGAGAAAACGAGAAAGACAAATGTTACTCCTGCTCTTGAATTTGTCTCTTATCACTTCCCCTCTCTGCTCTACAGAGAGTTATTTCATTCATATTAGAGGTTATTTGGGTCACTTTTACCTAAAGAGAGAAAATAATGGGAACCTAATTTGAGATTGGTGGCAATTTAAGTAAGAAAATGGATTCGGAATATTCTGCACTGCTGCTAAATTTAACGGGGTGCTCAGTGAAGCGTGAGCTTTCAGATGTGAATAGGAGGCTTTCAACCATTTCCCCCTATTTGTTTTTCAACTGCATTTCTTAGCATTGTTAGCAATTCCATCTCATCCGTTCGCAGTGTACTGAAACTGCATTCAATAACCTGACCTTTCACTTGTTAAGCTAAACTTGGTATTTAATTATTAGGTATGCAAAGTCAAGCAGAAAACTAAGGAGCAGTTACAAATGAAATCATGGTGTTTTACTGGAGATGAATGGGAATATTTGTGTTTACTGCTTTTCTAAAACCATTTGAAACTGTTTATTTTGAATTGGAATAAACAAAACAGAAACGGTGTATATCAAAGTTTAAAATAACCACGGCACTCAAAACCTGTTTCGTCTCATTCGTGCGGCTGCATCGCACTCTGCGCTGTAATTTTTTTACAACATACTGTGCAACAAAACAGGTCATTTAAATTCTGTAATTACTATTACAGATAAAACGACACTGCGGCAATGTTAATTACTATAGCACTGATGTATAGGATATAATACATAATAGGCATGTCTTTAATTTTAAATTGAAGTGCAACAAAGCATATTATTGCTATCCTTCCTCTTCTTAACGTAAATGAATGCCATTCAAGTGTAGCATTTGCATCCACGCAGAGCATTCTAAAATCAATCACTCTTCTACTTTAACTCAAGCTGCCGTATTGCACTTTTTGATGACGTGTAAGTTAAGGAACCTCCTGCTGTAGGAACTTCTCCTGTGACAGGGGTAAATGTGACTGAATTATATTCCGTCGAAAAAAAAGATTTCTACAATTGTTTTCTTTTTCATTACAGAAGCCATAAATCAGTTTTCAATGAAGTGTACCATTCAGTCTTTTTAAAAACGAAGCTGAATCTCAAAGATCATTACAGCTACTTGAGGTGTAGGAGGAACTGGAGATACTCACCAAACCATAATTCATTTTGTACCACTGTGGCCAAAACTTCTAGCAACTGTAGAATACCCAGAACAAAGAGCCTTGCAGCAGAGGACAGTGAATGGTTTGACCTGCAGCATCAGAATGAGCAAGGCTCCCTGCTTCATGAATAATTATCTCCCTGCTTTTGCAGCACCTTTACTTTTAGTTAACTGTTATGAATATCGAAAGAAGAAAAAAATGAATTAAATTTCAGATTTCTTCAAGTGTACTTAAATAATTTAAGCCAGCAGAAATGTCCCCATTTTCAGTGGACAAATTTAGTAATGAAGTCACTACTCAGATTTTGGATGAGAAATATTCTAGAAGCCTACTTATTCAGAAGTATAGTAGTCTCACTCATTGTGCTAACCGTGTGCCCCTGGATAGAACAGCTCCATATGGATTTACAGAAATATTTCAATGTACAGTTAAAATTCACACACCTGAAGCATGTCCTCAGGTCACGTGTTCCATCACAGTAATAATGAGATACAGTGCCAAATTTAAATGAAGACGTGTAGGATGCAAACACCTGCATTGTGTGTAATTGGTCTCAAGGAATTACAAATGACATTGAAAGGAGCACTTTTCATCCCCTGTTCAGGTCAGCGGGACGATGTACAACACAGGGAGACACGTTTCTCTACGATTAGACAAGGAGCACTTGGTGAACATCTCCGGAGGGCCGATGACATACAGCCACCGCCTGGAGGAAATCCGGTTACACTTCGGAAGTGAGGACAGCCAGGGATCAGAGCACCTTCTCAACGGACAGGCGTTCTCTGGGGAGGTACGTCAACATATTCCAGTGCCAAATGAAGCAGCATGGAATGCTACACTTTTCATTTCCACCTGAAGGTATTTGCAACAAAAAAATTGTTTCCCTTAATCCAGGGTGGAATTCAGCTTTTGTGTTACTTTCTATTCCCGGCCCATGCATGGCTACATGTGTGAGTCGTATTTAAAAAGAAATTGTTTAACTGCACTCGTGGACACCTTGTACTCACAAATGCACTGCTTACAAAGCAGTCAAGTAGCCTTGTGGATCCTTTAACTGCCAGCATCTCTCCTCCACTTAACAAATAAGGCAATGCTTCAGAATAACCATAGGGGTTATTTTTTAAGATACTCTGTAAGTGTCCTATTACCTTTCTTTTGGAAGATCAAAACGTATAATTTTTTCATGGTGAAGAACTTTGTTGGGGAAGAGTGAATTACCATCTGTAATATCTATCACAGATTCTGGTGATCAGACAATTAATGAGTGTTGTTTTCTTTGGTGTTGTGCAGCAGCGGTTATTTAAGAGCAGGACATTAACTGTAGGATTGTCCAATAATGTTTTAACTGATGGCAATTAGTTACTTTGAAAAGCTTCACAGACATGTAGCATAACCAGCAGCAGCTTTTTCATGAAATTACTCATGTTTCACACAACTGACTTCTGGCTGCCTTGTTTAAATTCTGTGATAAGTGGGCATAAAATGTATGACTCCTTTAAGAGCCTAAAGTTGGGTGCTTTATAGTAACTTGGGTATTCGCTTAGCTAATCTTATCTATAGGGGAGAGATACCCAAATGAAAGCAGTTTGACTGAACAAGAAAGAAGTACCCAGCTGAAACACACCGCTGCACTCCATACAACATATCAGGATTGTTTCAGATGTTTTCAAAGGAATAGAAAAGTTAGAAATTAATCGCTCATAGACTATAACAAAAAGTAAACGTGTAGAGCATTTTTGTGCTTTGCTTGGTGCTAGTACTTACCTAGGCTCTGGGACTTCAAAAATAGAAGTTTCGAAGTGCAGCAATAAGTGCAGCTGGCATTGGATTGGAAGACCTTAACCTTCTAATGTAGAGACTAAACATGACAGTTTACCTCCTTCAGCCTGCCTTCCTGCAGCCAGGTTAATATTGACCTAACATTCCTTTGGCTTCAATACATTTCTATTCTTGAAACAATAGACACGCAGCAGCTGTACCTGAGCCACCGTCCTGTTATGCTTGAAATACCACTGAATAACTTAAAGAAGGTCCACTCCAAAATGCCAAATGATGCAGTGACACTTCAAAGTGGAGCTAGCGATGGTTTCTTGGAGGAGAGCAGGGTAGCAAAGCAGCTGCTCAGCTGGGAGAGCTACAGATGCTGCTGGCCCAGCTGCCCGCCATCTCCGAGTGCCCGATTGCCTGTGAGCACCATGACAGTTTCCTGCACGGCCTTCCATGAAATCAGTCACACGTACCTTAGATGCTGCACAGCTGAGCTGTCCCACTTGCCAACCAGAGCCCTAGTTTAAACGTCCTGAATCTCTTCCAGGCGGCGCTCATTTCCATTTATTGGTTAAGCAGAAAAGCCAGCTTTCTAACCTCGTTTCCCAGCATCAACAGTGAAACAGTGTGAATAGCTTCCTCTACCCTCTGTGTTGCCTCTGGAGTCCCTAGATCAAGGCCATCACCTTCCTATTATTTCTCAATTATTGCAGTAATACATTTTGTCAAGCTTAGGTATTATTTGCTAGCACAGACCTTAGTTCTCTATTAATAAAAGCAGAAAATCTAGCTAAGTGGAAACCACGGTCAGTCAGCCAGTGGTGCATCGCTGGATCCACAGTATAGGAAGGATTCATCTAATTATCTGAATTCCTCCTACTGTGAATGGAAGAAGACTGGCATCTTCAGAGGATGAGCATTCCTGATAGCTAGAGACAAATCTCTTAGGACAGGACAAATCGCTCAGTGGAAATGCATCTGCCTTGACAAGAGAGCAGGCAAACAGCTGGACAAGATGCTTAGATTAGATGTCTCCTTTTTGGATGGTGGAGATGAATTCTAACCTTCAAGGATGTGCTTTTCAAAGTTGCAGGTAGCCATTTTGGGCAGTCAAACAAGTGAATACCAGTAAGGTCAAGTGTTAATTATCAATTTGGATCTGTATCTTCAGTAAAGTCTTAGTTATAAAACACATACTGTTTCCAAAGCACAAACACAGAGTCAAATAAATCATGTTGAATAGCATAGGTGCAATTTTTTAGTAAAGGATGGCAGCTGACAGTGTTCTTAGGACTCACATTCACCCTTACAAGTGCTGTCTATATAAGTAAGTTATTTCCAATAAGCTCTCAGCACTGGGAGATGCAACGTTTACAGCTCCCGGCAACTAGAATGACAAAACTATAGACAGGTTAGCTGACTTTATGATTGAGTACATGATTCTGTAAGGCAACATATGCTTTCAAGAAAGCTGCTGCTAATTATTATCACTCCCGTGATACTGTCAGAGGAGATAGGATAAAGAAAAATAACTACATTAATTTAGGTTGTGCAGCAACCAGAGCAGTGAAGATTTTCTGGTTTGGGCTTTAGCAGGTGAAGGCAACCAGAGAAGCATGACTGCAGGATTCCACCATTTGATTGCTGGTTGCACAGTAATGCCCACGACGCTTCCTTGTTGCTGCTGTTCTTATTTATTTTGGACAAAGTAACTATGGCGTTTACTGCAACCTCTGTCTTGCTATAGAAACAATTCCTGAGTTACCCAAGCAGTGTGATTCAATTCAGTCCCCTCTTTTCCACTGACACTGACACATTCACATCAGCGCACTGGGGAAAGGAGGGCTGGGGGGCAGAGCAGCCCTCCCTAACAGCACTGAAAACTTAGACTGGCTCTAACAGACCAGAGTTAAATCCAAATCCAGGGAAGCTGAAGCTGCTAAGTGGCTCCATGATATTTTCAATTATGAGCAGTTTTCTTTACACATCTGGAAATCAAGCCTAAGATCCACACTAAGCAAGAGGCCTGTTTTTAGTATGCTTTTTTTTTTTTTGCACAGTGAAGATGTTCTGCAAGAGCACAGGCACTCAGCAGGCTGGAGAGCACTAAAGTGGCACCACGGAATGAAAAACATCCAGAACTGGCAATTTGTTTCAAAATGTCCCATGGTTTGAGCGATACTGAGAGGCTTGTAATTTCCAGGCTTCAGGTGTTAAAGTCTGTCAAGAGAGATCTGGGTAGCTTTTAGCCCCTGATGATCACTTCAGCAGACAGAATAACTGAACCAAGGCCCGAATAGTTTCAATGTAAGGACTTTAAAAATGAGCATCAGATTATCATCAATGCATTTAACACTGCTAATACGGAATAAATGAAAGGCTTTGGAATGTTTAAAAAAATAAATTGAGCATTTGTTTGTGCCTCAGATACATTCTTGAGAGCATTCAATTCTGCACTCTTTGTGTGAGCATCCTACTATAGAGTAGCAATGCAAAGAAAATCTTGGCTCAAGCGAAGAGCACAACCAAGACACCAATCATTCACGTCCGCTGCCTGATGTCTCCATGCAAAACTGCTTCTAGCACAAGTGTCTGTGTCATTAATGAGGCCATCTTCTCTCAGAAAGGAAGAAACAGAGAATAGAGCAGAATAGTGCTGCTGTTTGAGCTCTGTCTACCTTGTTAAAATACAAAATAAGATAAAGGTAACTGAACCTACAAGAGTCATGAAGAAAACTGGACCCTTTAAGCTTTACTCCAACTACCTCGAGGCTGCGCAGTGCAGTGGTCTTATCTACATAGAGGAAGAAAGTCAAGGAGCTTCATTGTTTATGCTATGCACTTTTCAAACAAGACTCCACAGTGCAGAAAATAGATTTGCACATATAAAGCCCACCAAGTCATCTTCTGAAAACCTATGACAGACATTATAAGCACAAAATGACTTCACCTCCTACATGAGAAATAAAATGATAGCCACGAAGTATCTGGATAAGTGAACATATATTGCATCTACACAGAAAGTTTGAAACCAAGATTTGTTTTTTTCTGCTGCAAAAGCTAATAAAAAATTGAAGCAAAATATAAGAAAACAGAGGTGGGGGAAGGAGACCAGAAATTCTGAAACACCAGCCTTCTACTACTTCATTTTCTATGTGAAATCAGGCAAATTGTACGTGAGTAGGGAACTTTGAATGATAGTGAAGGATTATTTATCAGAGAGATCAGTGCTGCAAATCCAACTTCTGATATTTTTAGAAGCAGGACTGACAGAGAAACAGCCTGTGAGAAACATCTAGCCAGCTGAAATCATTTAATCCAGTCTTCTGCAGAATTAGAACGATCTCAACTGCTAAATCAGAAGAAGTGATATTGTCATGGAGGCCTTCTGCACACCTCTGCTTTGCCTGTGTAGGTCTGAATAACCTCTCCCAAAATGCTTCTGTTGACTTCAGTGATGCTGGTGAAACAAAGCAAATCCATCAGCAGGTCAGAGGAAGCCATAGGCACAGGCTGACCCTAAACATACTGCTTGTTCCAAGCTGCAAACCAGCCACATCTCCTTTTATTGGGTGAGGCCCTAACTTCTTCCAAAGGTAAATGTTAGCCATGCCTTTCTGTGACATGGCTCAGGCCTCTGCCTCCTCTCCTGCATTCTACACAAAAACATGTTTTCCCCACACATTTCCCTGTGCAAAATTTACTGCCCTCCATCCAAGCCTGGACTTCTGTTTGCTTTTTGTTCCCTGTAGGATCCTCACTGATGTGAGGATGTGAGATTCTCCCAAGGCTGTTCAGCAGAATACAGGGCAGCACACACTCCTTCCTCAGGAAAGGCAGCAGGTGATGCCCATTGCCACAGGTCATCTGTATTTTGGAAATTTTATTGGAAACGATACGGGTCATTTTTAAGTGTTGCAGCCAGAAGATAAGTTTACTGTATTCCTGTGCTGATTAATGTTGAAAAATAAGCCTCTGAGGGCAGTACCAGATGAGGGAACACATGTCTAATGGAAGGGTGGT